CGTTTTCCCCCCGCGGTTCTTCATTTTAGCTGCTTTTTTTGGGGGGGGGCGTAAAGCCGTGTGCCGCTGGGCTCCTGCTGCAGGTTGCCCCTGGGCTAGTGGCTAAGGGAATGCTGAACTCGTCCAGAGCCTCAAGCAGTCGTCGCCTTCTCTCCCCAGGGACGCTCTAGATCAGAAGCAACTCCTGAAAATCTGTCCATGCATGGCAGTGGCTACCGTCCGGTTATCTCCGCGGGGATTCAGCCCGACAGGCCTGCTCCCAGAGGGTCCGGTGGCTGCTGGTGCCGAAGGAGAGGTTGGTGTGGGCCGGGAAGGATTCCCGGCCTGGTGATGGGAATGCCGGCCTGAGCTCTGCGAGGGGAGCCCTGATTCACTGGTCCATATCACCCAGCTGAGGACGAGGAGGGATAAACCACAGCTGATCCACTTCCACCCCACGGGACCGCTTCTGGGAGGGTAATTATTTCTTCTTCCCCTCATTTTATTACCTCGGTGGAGCAAGTTTTGTAGGAGGGTGAAAGAAAGCGGCAGAGTTAGCTGTGAAGCGGTGGATACTTTGTGCGTCCCACAAAGGGGATCACTGCTGGGGACTCCTGGCAGCAACACCGCGTCTTTGCGCCCGAGCTGGAGCCACCTGCACCGGCTGCAGTCCCGTGAACGTCCTCTCCCCTTGCCCTGTGTCAAAGCTGGACCAGCTGTGGCTGTGTTGTTCGCACACATCTCAATTGGTGTTTGTTGTTGCTGTGAGTTGTTGGTTATGGTTATGGTTTAAAGGGGTGCGGTGCAGTTTAACCATGTAAATGCTATACCATGTGTGGCTGGAAGGGGTTGTTTCCCAGGTCTGGAGGCAACTGAGTGTGACCCAGAGAGAAATTATTAAGATTAATTTTAAAAGTAGGTTTCACTGTGTCTGCTGCTTCCCCTGGGAAGGTGTTTCAGAATCGCATCTTACTGCTGGAAAGAAACCTTATCCTTATTTCCAGCTGAACTATGCTAACATTCCCCTTATCCACCAGCATATGCCGGGAAATACAGGAGTATGTCAAAACTGAGTGTCAGTGCAGTTTTTTTGCATCGCTTACATCATCTTCCTGTGAACTAAAAAAGTGAAACAGGCTTGAAGTGAAAACAAATGCCGCTAAGTGCAAAATGTAACTAATGAGGCTGGACGCTGGCTGTCTGAGTGGCATTCTTTGTTTCGGTGTTTGTGGGAGTCATTAGCGGCGCTGCGATGGCACTTCTTGTTACCGTTGGAGAGCGGATTGCTTAGGTCCAACGTGTGTGTCCTCACCAGGAGTTTAGGGAGCCTCACGGTGCGAGGAGTGGGTGCTGGGGGTTCCTGTCGGCGTTTCAGCCTCCTGGCAGCTGAGCTCTGGGTGGCTCAAGGCCCCAGGACCCGGATGCCCTGGCTGCGTATGAGCCCTGGGTGTCCAGTGCTGAAGGGACTCGGGTCGCGTTATTGTGCATGTGCAGGAACCGGCCTCCCTCGGGATCCTTTGTGCTCCTTCCTCATCAGCTGCAGCCTACAATGAACGAGCGCTCCGGCCCTAACAGCTGTCTCATGTTTATTCCTGTTTGTAGCTTGGCGCCTTGGAGGAGAGAGGATGGCTCAGGAGACAAACCAAACCCAGGTGCCTCTGCTGTGTACCACGGGCTGTGGATTTTATGGCAGCCCCCGGACCAACGGGATGTGCTCCGTTTGCTATAAGGAGTTTCTGCAGAGACAGCAGAGCAGTGACCGGATAAGCCCCGCAGGTAGAGGACTTTTGTCCATGAAATCTATCTATCTTAAATGGGTGCCTGGATGCACACTGTGTTTGGTGCTGGTACTGGCCACCAGCAGATTCACTCCCTCCTGGAACACTCTTGTCTTTCCCTTTTTGTGTAAACCCGAGCCTCTAAATCAAAGACCCGAGCCTTTGAATGCTTCTGTTCCCTGCAAGGGGTCAGTTGTTTTCTTCCCAGTCCCATCCATTTCTGAAGCCCCATGCCAGTCAGCACCTTCCAGGAAACTGTAAAACTTCACTTGCGCTAACAGTGGCCCAGATTTTTAGCTATTACCTGCTCCCTGAGTTACATGCTGGCTGCTGGGAACCACAACAGATCCCTGAAATGAAATTTTATTTGGGAAGAATTTGGCTTTTTGGGTTTGCATATTTTTTTGTTATCTTAACAGGGTTGACAATCAAAAGCGATGAAATAACAGGTTTTTTTCCTGCAGCTAAACAGGGCTGACATAGCACCGAACTGGGTGCACAGAAAGGATGTTCTTTCCATCATTAGCAGGATTTTCTTTTGCTGAGAGACTGTGCAGATGCCCCATACCCATCCTGTGCAACACTAGTGAGAAACGCCTTCTAGAGATCTTCCGCAGCTTTGTTCCTGAGTGTAATAATGGCTTTCCTTAAATTACCCACCCAAAATATATATTAGGAACACAGCTCACCCTGACAAAGGGTTTTTCTAAAGACCCTGACTTAGATCCTTGGCTGACATAAACCAACATGTTTCTATCGAAGCCAGTTCCTTTCAGCAGATGAGGATCTGCTTCTTGTACCTTGGAGAAGTTGTAAAATAATGTTGGGTTCAAGGTTATGTTGGTAACTGCGGCACTTTCATTTGTACTGATAGGAGAATATTTATGCTGATGCAGAGTTTGCTTTGCGATGCTGAGGAAGAGAAGGTGGATCAAAGCATGACGGAGGTGTCATGGGTGACTGATGTCAGATTTTACCAGATGTTAAAAAAACCCACACAGTAATGGAAGGCATTCAGCACAATAACTCCCGCGAATAAACCCTCGTTCCTCTAAAGGGAGCTCGCAGATCCTCAGAGCTGAACAGATCTCCATAAATGAGACCTGCAGTTCTCAGGAAGACGAGCAGCTAATTTCAGAGGATGTCATCATTGTGGTACAAAGAGTCATTCCTGATCTAATGTAAGACTAACTGCACTGGGTCATGGTGAGGTCCGTCCAGCCCTGATACGTTGTCCCCACAGAGACCTATGCACAAATTTGGAGGGGAGAGTGTACGAACAGGGGATCTAGGAGTGATCCCAACTGGAGCGTGCCCTTCTGGTAGAGAGCTGAAAGCACTCATCCTGCTTTCTCCTTGGCTGTCAAGCACCCGACGAACTTGCTGACGTTTTTAAGAGTTTACCAAGACTGTGGTCTTGTTTCGTAGCGCCCAGTGGTCCCAACAACAGCCCCATGGCTTCAGATTCAGTTGCAGGGCAGCGCGCAGAGGGAGACTCCACGCCTGAGGATGCGAAAGCCAGGTAGGGGCATAGTCCGTGGGGGGTGGGAGGATCCGCAGCTGTGCTAAAAACCAGCCCTGGGACACAAGGGATAGGCTCTCATCCTTTGTATGGTCAACGGGATCTGTAAAGCGGGCTGGATCAAACACTGTTCATTGTGACTCTGGTTTATCTGGAAGACTGAGATGTCCCTGACGAGGACTGATGCATAGAGTCGGGTATCAGAGGGTCGGTAGTAAATTAAAACTTGTAGTAAACTAAGTGGCACCCTGGTTGTTGTGGAGCCAGTGCACCTTGTCTGTCACGAGCTGTCTTAAACTGCTGGGCTTCAACTCAACCCTAAGAGAAAGCACCTGGTGATGATCCAGCCTGGAAGCTGTGACAGGAGGATTAGGGACCTTGGTCACATTTGATAGGAAGGCAGATAGTACTGCATCGAGCTCCATCATTGTGTTACAGTCCTGACTCATAACTCTGTTTCCCTGTCCCTGGACTTATTTGGATGGGCTGTTGCCTTGGGTTTGAGATATAATTGGGTGGAAAAGGAAACTGAGATCATCACAGATTCATGCGATTTATGTCTATGAAGAACTTTGATCCCAAATCTCAAGGGGAATTGGCTTGCTATACTCCTGAGCAACCTCTGAGTATGATGAAATTAACTTTATGGGCTGAAGATCTCCCCCACATAACTGTTCATCAAAAGAAAACACTTGTGTTTAACCAGTGGTTGGTTGGTTTGTTTGTTTGTTTGTTGCAAACACTCCCAGTGCTCAGACTCCTGTGACCCATCAGATGACGGCCATGAGCATATCCAGAGAAGAAAACAGCAGTGAGGCAGAAGAACTCAAGAGAGAAGAAGCCTCATCAGCATCTTCCTCATCAGGTAGATGGTTTGGCCTTTGTACAAGCCTGAATGACACTGATCTTGCAAGTGATTTGAGCAGCAGTTACAATATTGGCCACTGACTCCGGGGGACAGTTGTTACCTCCCGGCAGTAAAGGTGCACCTAGCAGGAGAGCTAAGGAGAAAACAGTTTGTCTGTTTCTGAAATGGGGAGGAGAGAAAATGCTGTGCCTGAGGGCAGGCCGATAGAGATTGCTTTGTGGGCTGAGGGCTGAGTAGCTGCCAGCCCTCGACTCGCTGGCAGGAGGATAATCTTCCATGACGCCTATCCTAGTGAATGGCAGAAAGCCCGGAGCGTCCCACAGCCTGCTGTACGGCTGTTGTTGGCTGCATTTCCCTGCCATCTCTCGAGGGAGGAAAGGAGACGGATCCAGTGTAGTCTTGGGAGAGAGGAGACGTGTTTGTGATGGTGCCCAGGGCAGCTGCTGGCCTGGTTGGTGTCATCCTGTGTGATGGGAAGCATACCTGCCCCTCGGAGGGGAACGTTATCGCTGTCGCTTTGTTTGCAAAGTGGGTACCTTGAAGTGATAGAGGAGCACGGGTGCTGTTGCCCAGTAGGGTACATCCTCCAGTGGATGAGGTAGAAGGTGAGCTGTTATGTTGCAGCCGAGCTGTAACCAAGTGCCACTGCATTGGAGACACCCTCCTTTAGTTCAGCTGACAGTTTGCTTGCATTCAAAGCTAAAAAAAACCCCAAGAGTTGTCGGTTGCTAAAAAAACAGGCTCTAGTCATCGCACATGACTGTGCATTCTGGATTTGGTAATCCTGGGCCTGCGAGTCCAGGAGACAATTTACAGCAGGCGGGAGGCAGACTATTTGGTGAAAGAGAGGCTTGGAAGAACCTGTCCCTTTCTGCTGGTTGTGGGATTTTTAGAAAGTTGTTTAGGGTCAGATCCACAAAGCTCTCTGCCTCTGACAGTCCTCTGTCGTCTCGCTGACTCTGTCTCCTTAGCCTGATTTTCAGAGCAGCCTGCACTGCAGGTGTATCTGCTAGCAGTTGGAGCTCCTCCCTCCTGTTGACTTCTCTAGCCTGCTTAGGTACTGTAGGAAATCCTGCTAAGCATCAGTGACCTTTAACAATCTGGATTTCAGAGCTCAGTTTTCCTTTTGGTGGATTAGAGACAGTGATGAGTATCCGTGTAAAGCATTCTGAGACCTACATATGAGGAACACTTACGTAAGAGTCAGCAAAAATAATTAGTAGTACTTACAAGGGGTTAACTTTTTTCCCCCCCCATGAAGATTAACTCTAGGCTCAGCTGTGCAGCTGAGTTACTGTACATCAGCTAAGCGGTAGTGACTATCCAGGCGCATGCTTAACCTATGGCAAGCACCAGGTAATTCTGCTTAGTGTTACCTTTTCTCAGCAGGAGCGAAACAGCATCCCATTACCTTACGTATGCCTTAGCTAAACCGTAATATCTCCTTGGTGTTTCTGAGCCTTGGACTTCAGGAATTTGAAACAGAGAGAAAACATGAGGCTGTGTGAGGCGTGGATCTCTGTGGGACAAGGCAAATCTCACAGTTTGGGGTATGTCGGCCAGGGCAGTGTGCACACACGGGTGTCTGGGCCAGACCCAGCACCGTAGGGCCTCGAGCAGCTCCTGCAATAAACCATGTGTGTTGCTTGGTTTATCAAGAAGGTAGCAAAACTCTTGCCTCTCTTTCAGGTACCCTGCTTGAAATATCCCAGAACACAGCGGAGGGCAAGGCAGCTTCAGAAAAAACGAAACAGAAGAAGAATCGCTGCTTCACTTGCCGGAAGAAGATAGGGCTAACTGGTAAGACCCTGGCTGTGGGGAAAGCTTGTCTGTGGCCTAAATAGTCTGGTTTCATCGCCCTGCAAGCAGATCTCCTTATGCTGTGATACTGCCTGGGTTCAGAGGGTCGGCGTGGGTCAGTGGTTGGAGGTAACCCTCCAAAAAGTCCTTTATATCTGCAAGACGTGGAGCTGCGGGGGGGGCGGGAGGGGAGCTCCGACCTGCGAACAGTGCTGTCCGAGGCAGTAGCCTGGGGAATGTGCCCTGTGAAGGTTCCTGCCAGCCCCTGGGTGCAGGATTGTGAAACTGCATGGAGCCGTGCCTCTCGGGTTATTTCTGCTGCTTGGCAAAAGCTGCCTGTAGAAGCAGAGGCAGTGCTCGCTGTGGATCTAATTCTGCTCCTGTTCAAGTCAGCGGTAAAGCTTTTGTAATAGTGACATGAACTGAGTTAGACCCAACCTGAAAATCCCACTCCAACACTCGTCCCATTTGTTAATGTTGCTTGACTTCTGCCGTTAGCTTCCCGAGAGCGGGATGGTTCTCAGCGTTCAGCCTGTAGAGCTGAAGAGAGAGAGGTGCTTAGATCGTGTCAGGTGACTGTTATCAATGGGAAAACTCCCCCTGGAAAGTGAAGCAATCAACTTGGCTGTGGTTTGTGCATAAAAACATCATTCCCCTAAATTGAGTCTGGCATTTAGTGTTTTCCTGGAAAAAGTTAACTTTAAAGCCATGCAGGTCACGCCGTTCTAGCGGAGCGCTCACCTCTTTAGCCTCCTCGGTGCGGTCAGCAGCCAGGGACTGCCCACACGCTTCTGTGTTGATCCATGTCAGCCGTTTCAGCAGCGTCTGGCCCGGGAGCTTTGCTCAGCGCCTGGTCCTGTGGAGCCTGAGCTTGCCGGGAGGTCTGAGGGTGCTGTCATAGAATAAGTGTGGGTTTATAAGCCCGGGACTGGGCAGGGTACTCTGCAGCCCGGCTTCGGAGCTGCAGGGAGGATTGTTTTCCTGGATGAGTGTTTCCTTAAGAGCTTCAAACTGTGAGAAGTTTCCTCTCCTTTGGGAAACAAATTTCAGAGAAATCCTGTGAATTCAGGGCGTTTAGGATAAAATAAGTTTTCTGAAATAGGAGTAAACTGGCACCTTGCAGCAAGGTGTTTGTAGTCTTTACAGCCTGTAGTTGGAAAGATGGGAAAGGGGAGAGTGTGATTCACTGCCAGTGCGACAGGGAGCTGAGCAACCCCGCTCCCTGCTCCCCACCTCAGTTTCCCAGTGTGCTGTGATAACGGTAGCGCTTCTGAACGGCATTGTCACCAAGCGAAGTGACTAAATGGTGAATTTTGAAGCCTAAGTAGCTTGACAGCGATCCTAACGAAGGTGAAGGTTTTGCTGCTCGCTGGCTTACTGTTGGTCAGTCCAGATGCTGCTGCGTGACGCCCGGGGAGCCAGGCTGGCTCGGAGGGCTCAGCTCCAGCTCAGGCTGCCTGCTCGCTGCCTGGGGAGCCTGGTCTGGATTAGCAATCTGGCGCTCTGCAGTCCCCCGCATGTCCCTTGTCCCCGGGGAGCGTGGAGAGCAGCTGCTCTGGGACCGTTTCCCACTGCCGTGACAGCTGGGGCTGCCCAGAGCATGCGTGTGCTCACGGGAGCAGCTAAGCCAGAGGAAACCAAAGAGCAACCTGTGGTTTTCCCCCACACTGTGACTCCCTTTGGCCTGTCGGGGACAGCGGCCGCCTCCCTCATCTGACCTTCTTTTCTGCAGTGGAGTTTCCTGGCCTGGCAGGAAAGAGCAGGGGCCCTGCTGCCTTCCCATTCGGCTGGACGGGGACTGACGTGGCTTTGTCTCTCTGCTCTTCCTCCCTTCAGGCTTCGACTGCCGCTGCGGGAACCTGTTCTGTGCCATTCACCGGTACTCCGACATGCACGCCTGCCCCTACGACTACAAGGCAGAGGCCGCCGAGAAGATCCGTAAGGAGAACCCCATCGTCATTGCTGAGAAAATCCAGAAGTTGTGAAGGGGCTCGAACTGAAGCCGGGTGGCCTGGTGCTCCTCCCCTTCCTCCCAGCCTTCCTCCTCTTCCTCCCAGCTCCATTGGTGGTGTAATGGGGATTCCAGCAGCACACACAAACCACCACTTGGACTTGGGGACTCCTCGCACCTCTTTGGCAGACAGTTGCCATTCCTTCTCTCCCTTCCTGCCTGTCTGAAAGCCACAGTTCAGCCGATCCCTCCTCACCTAGCTTCCCAAGGGAAAAGGGACAGTCCTGCCCCACCATTCCTGTGCTGAGACCTTTGGACTTGTCTTCCGCCGGGGTGGTTTGCGCGGTGTGGGCAGCAGGGCTCTGCCGGGCAGCCTTTCCCTTCAGCCAGCAGCTCCGAGTCCTGTGAACCGCCCGGGACTCGCAGCTGGAGCCCGTGAGGTGCCGCTGGACCTCGTTCCCTCTGCCCTTCCATCTCTTTGTGGCAGATGTAAAACCGGGAGCTGGGGAATCCCAGCAGCAAGGCTGCCCTCTGCTCCTCAAGAGGTGTTTGGTCTCAGATGCAAAAAAGAGGATTCTGTAGTTTAAACACCCCAAATACCCCTCCCCTCCCTTTGAGACGCTGTTGTTGAAGCACCAGGATGGTTAAGCAGCAGAGTACTGGCACAGTAAAGTTATTTTGTGGCTTAAAGTGACGCAGATGCACTCCAGCCGCAGGTCAGGACCTTTAGGAAAGTACCGCTCGCTGCACGAGGAGGGAGCCAGCCTGCGGGGCTGGCCGTGTCCAGGGATGTTTTTGGGCTGTGGGACACCCTTGCACCAGCGTCCCGTGCTTCAATGCCCCCTGAATAACCGCTGGCTGCTTCCCAAGCGAGGCTTGTTGTAACACAGCGGCACCTGCGCCTCTCCTCTCCCTTCCCCTCCCTCACTTCTGCCTTATACGATTCTTTCTCATCAGGGTTGTGCACAAAGTTCGGATCGCCGAACCTCCGCTTCCTTTCCTGTTCCTACCCGCAGGTGGACGGTGGGGACCCTTCCTCCCCCGTGGGCCTTGTTCATACTCGGTGAGAGCCTTTCTGCCCTCTGGGCACGTTGGCTCGGGAAGCCCACCCAGCTGCCCTGCTCTCCTGCCTCACTGCATGTCCCCGTTGGGAGGAGGCAGAGCCAGATCCAAAACACTCCGAAAGCTGGAGAGAGGGATCTGGGACACAGGGAGAGGAATGTGGATGGCTGCAGGGTGTGGGGAAAGTCAGGAGGAGGGTCCTGGGGTCCCCATAAGCACAGGCAGGGGCTGTCAGAAAAGCCCATGGAGAGGCCTGGGGAGCAGGGAGAGACACCTGGAAGGCTCTGGGCCCTCTGAAGGACTCGTAGAGGTCTCGGGGTTGGCTGGAAGACTCAGGGAGGGCTCTGGGGTGGAAGGGAAGGCAAAAGGAGAGCTTTGGGGTACACTGAGAGCACTCAAGCACCCTAAAAGGCACCCGGAGTGGTCTGGGGTGTGCACACAAACACAGAGGGCTCTGGGTTGCAGGGAAAGGCAAATGCTGGGCTCGGTTGCACTCCAGAAAAAAACACGTGGGGGCTCTGAGGCCGTTAGAATGGAAAATGTGGGGCTCAGGTACACGGCACAAGGCAGGTGGAGGCTCCTGGGGCGCACCGAAAGCCACCTCCGCACCACACAGGGTCTGTGCCCACCCCGGGGAGGGGGGCTCTCCTCCCTGGGAACACCGGAGTGGGGCTGCAGCCACGGGGCTCTTGGTGGTCTCACAAATGGAGAAATCCGGATGGGTCCTGGGGGGAAAGCAGCAGCCTCTGCCCCACTTCTGGCCATCCCACTCTTCGGAAGCATTTCCCTCGGCATCAGCTCGTACATGGGTGTCGGAGAGCAGAGCTGCAGGGGCCAAAGCGGCAGCCGGGGGAAAACGCGGCAGCTCCTTCCAAGTGTGGGTTTCCTCCCCTGTTGATGGCAAGTCTGCCCCGGTGATTGCAGGGGGATCATTCCGAAGGTTTTGGTTTTCCTAGCTGATTTCAGCCAAAGCAGTTTGGTGCTGCCACACCAAGGGGGCCAGCAGGGAAAGCTGTGCCTGGTCCTCACTCTCCTCTGGCAGCGCTTTCGTCACCCCACAAACCTTGGGGCTCAGGGCCTTGCTGCCAACTTCAGCCTCAAAACCATCTTTTCCCATTTTTCCAGTGGCTGGAGGCAAAAATACCCAACGTCCAGCCATTGTTCCCACACCAAAGGGGCCAGCAGGGAAAGCTGTGCCTTGTCCTCACTGTCCCCTGGAACCGCTTTCATCACCCCGCAAACCTTGGCACCCAGGGCCTTCCTCCTTTCAACCTGAAAACCACCTTTTTTTGCACTTTCCCGTGGACTGGGCTCAAAAATACTGAACGTCCAACCTTTGCTCCCACACTGTCCCTTGATTGAAGAGCAACAAGTTAGAGATCAGTTAAGTAAACTGGACACCCACAAGTCCATGGGGCCTGATGGGATGCACCCTTGAGTGCTGGGGGAGCTGCCTGAAGTCATTGCTGGGCCGCTCTCCATCATCTTTAAAAGGTCCTGGAGAACAGGCGGGGTGCCTGAGGACGGGGGGAAAGCCAATGTCACTCCAGTCTTCAAAAAGGGCAAGAAGGATGACCCAGGAAACTACAGGCCGGTCAGCCTGACCTTCATCCCTGGAAAGATGATGGAACAGCTCGTTCTGGGCGTCATCTCCAAGAACCTGAAGGAAAAGAAGGTTATCAGAAGTAGTCAACACGAATTCACTAAGGGGAAGTCATGTGTGACTAATCTGATAGCATTCTGTGATGGTGTGACTGGATGGGTGGAGGGCAGTGGATGTTGTCTACCTTGACTTTGGCAAGGCTTTCGACACTGTCTCTCACATCATCCTCACAGGCAAGCTTAGGAAGTGTGGGTTAGATGAATGGACAGTGGTGGATTGAACAGTGGCTGAGAGATAGAGCTCAGAGGGTTGTGGTTAGTGGC